ATGTAAAAGTGGAAATTTTTTGCAATTTAGTCATTTTTCCAGCCAAATTAATAGGAGAAGAGGCTACCCCGGGGGTTTTGACATGCTCTGAAATTAATGGCTTAGGTCCTATAACCAAATTCGAATTAGATTTGGCTGAATTTTGGATCTCGAATTGCGTAGGGTCGGAACCAAGATTTTCATGCAATTGAACAAATTGCGGTTGATTTAGTTCAATTGTTTGTATACCCATTGTCGTTTGCCCCTGAATTGATGATTGGATGGTAGAATTCACCATTTGAAACAGGTTATGACACTAATTGAAAACAACTCGTTTCCCTCAAAGTTCGTGCACGACTGGTGAAATAAAGTAGTGGATTCTTGGCTTGTTTTGGATGATATTGGTCCGTGAAAATCAACGCCTAGGTGAGACGAGGTGGCCTGTGGGTGATCGCGACCGTGACTATCAAGGAGTGGCCAGAAAATAGAGTTGAACCGTGTTAAAGCCGAGAGTTTTCGTCATGATTTCGATGTTCTATGTTTGTTTAATTATATGGGAGGGATGGATGGAGGTTGTGTTACCGTCGACTTGGGGTTGATTTCCGGTAGTTTACGGGCGGTAAAGGGGTGGTTTTGGGTGAAATAGGTGGTGGTTGCATTATTTAAGTTTTAAGGAAAGATTGGTTTAATTATTAAACTTTCCTTAATCTTATTTATTACCATATCAAATAATATCTGATTTGATTCAAATATAATCTTACCATGTTGTGATGTTTAATTTTAGGATAAGATGATCTTGCAATTTGGAAATAACTTTTCATAACCCCGCCGTGAGATAACCAAAATTCGGCCAGGAGAACTTGCGACTACATATTCTATCACCTCACATCAAGTTCAATTGATGACGTGCATTGCTGTATAATCTTGTTGCAAAACCGTGATCTTCAACCATAATTGAGGAAAACCTATTAGAGCGTGAATGTTATAATCTTATTCACACTTCAAGTTATTTGGCGTGAGTTAAGATAGGTTAATCTTAATCCAAATGGTGGTTGTAGTAAAATAAAATAGTGAAGTGACAATAAAGTCAAGANTACTCGGGGGTGGGTGCAGGGCGGACGATTTTAAAGCAGACTCCCCATTCATTAGATAGAGAAGATCACCAAGATTTCGTGATTCGCTGCCGAACTTATTCCAATTCCAAGAGCTCGGATCGAATCGGTATTGAAAAGATGAAAAAATCAAGGAGCTTTTCTTTAACGTCTTTTTTTATTGTTTTTGTTAATTTTGTGAAATTACAAATCTGGACTATTATATTATATATTGTTCGATAACATAGGTGCCATGGATATTTCGCTTAGGGGTTTACCACATTATATCTAGTGTTTTTAATTATTTACTTTCGCATTCGATTAAATCACGTCAAACTTTAGACTCTGTCCACTCGCTGCAATCAGAGTTGCTTAAGTGACTATCTGTATAATAGTTTGACTGACTGGCTTCTCTGAGAAGGATAATAAAGACAAATTGTTTAATTAACTAGGTTTTAGTTATTACAAAAACATCTCTACTATTTATGTGGATTAATAAAAAAAAATCTCACATAAGCAAAAATAGATAGTTTTATACAAATTCCTCTATAATGTAATATGATATGAATTCCGTCAAGCTCCATAGCAAAAGATAAAACAAGCATTGTCTAGAGCTTCATCAAAATTTAGAAGCTCTCTTAAACATGTTGACTTAACAAAATTTGTATTTCCTATTCAAATTTAAATGCAATTTTGTTTTCATTTTATGAAAAAAAAAAAAACAGCTAGTCATAAATTATTATGTTGTAGATAGAATGCAACGAAGACCAATTTTGGACTTGAGTACCTATTCATTAGAGATGTAGATGTTCCCGTGGATTGCTAAACAAAATTTTCCACACATTATAAAATTTTAGAGCTGTCTAAACTCAGTTAGACATGCTAACTTAGTAAAATTTACTTAGATGTGATTTTATTTTTATTTTAAGAAAATAAAAATTACCTACATATCATTATTGGTGGAGCAGCTTGTCAGATCTCATTCAAGGGTTAAAATAAGGGACAACCCTTCATGTCTTTAATTGCTGAATTAAGCTAAATATACAGAGGGTCAGTTCACAGATATCTTACCGAGGGTCCCGAACTGATTAAAATTTGGTTCAAATCCCCCCCCCCC